TGTTCAACTATATGACTTTCTTAAAACCAGTGGTGCATGAGCCTATAGGGAAAGTTGGGCATGATTTACTGCTCTTCACTGATGTAGACACACACACTTTGGTTTGACCACCATGCTGTATTTGCTGGCTGCAGAATTAATAGCAAGCTGTAGACTATAAAGTGACTGCTCTGCACTGAAGATGTTCCAAAAAGCTCCATCCAAAGTAAAATGGTGTCCATTGATTCTGCACAAACTAGAGAGCAGAATAATTTAACCATCAATGCTTTAAGCATATAAACTTTGACAGATTCAACTTCTGTGTAACAGAATGCTGCTCACATAAGTGATTTGAAGGACAAATGTAACTATTTAGGTTAAAATAATCAGTCTGGGATTAAAGATGTTTGGATAAGCAGTGTTACGATTACTTCAAATGGAATAAAATAGGAAAGGACCAAAATACCCTAAATGAATTGATGAAATAAAGACAGATACAGAGAAGATTTTTTATTACTTATTTCAGGAAAAAATATAATTGTTGTATTTTAAGGTTCTGGGGAAAAAAAGAACAGAGGTTTGAAGCTGCCATTTCACTGAAAACAAAACAAAGCTTTATGCAGACCAGCTTACCTTGTATTATTTACATTCACCAGAATGAAACTTCACAAAACATTCCCAAAATATGGTTCACTAAGAAAAACAAATGAAATATTCGGACTAAAATTTATTAATGTGATACACAGAAATGTTGACTATTTCTAATATATGGTTCTAACTTTCAAACAATTGACTCTTTTGGGATATTAAATTATTTGTTAAAGTAGAATAACAGGACAACTAATGTAATCATACATTTAAGGTTATTTAGCATATATCAACATGCTTAACAGTTGAAAGTTTCTGAAGAAACTCTGATTCTGTCAACCTCAAAAAGTGTCACTGGTTTCAGTGGGGCAGGAGTTCATTTTTCATGTGAATCCAGAGGAATTAGCTGTAGCTATGGACCACTAGAATGGAGAGGAGTGAGAGGCTGGATGTATGGTTTAGGGAAACAGAGTAAAGGGAAATTTAGTTTAGACCATTATAATCCAAAGACCTGGACATATATTTCCAGGGCTTAATTGACAGCCTTAAAATCTCCTTATGTCCGAATATACTGTAACACTACTAAAACCTTTCTGTTATATCTCAGGAACCTCATTGTGTGTTTTCACACCTGAATTGCCTTGCCAAGATTTTGATTTCCCCCTCTTCCTTCCCTCCCTCTCTACTGTGGGGAAGACCTGTAAAAATCACATCCGTATTAGAGTATGTTTTTACTGCAGGGTTAATTTGGGTTCTTCTACATTCGAAAACGTGTTAACTTAAGTGAGAATAATCAGACTGTGAAACAGTACTCAAGCTGTGTGTCTACACACCTTCTGTCCTTGTTTGCTTGTGAAAGTAAAATTTCTAGAGGTGTAGTGCCAGAAGACGTTTTACATGCACTCTGAATTTTCTCATATCTGGAGGCATGGGGAAGGTTGTCTTTGTTCTTTCTAGGCACACCAAAAGGATTGTGGAAAACATTTTTAGAACTCAGGCCCTTAAGCAGATCTAGCCTGTACCCACAGTGAGGAATGCTTAGGTTAGCAGCTGGCAAATCAAGCTAACTGTAGTTTTTAATCTATACAGCAGAGAATATCAGCTTAATGGACTATGTGTGCAGGTGGAACTCAGATCAGGAGCAACACTTGAATTAAAATTTAAATAAAATTCACAAGGCAGACAAGGTTTTATGGTATCTCTACATAGTACTGTCTAACGCTGCAAAGAAACATATGAATTAACCATTAAAATGAATATGAGTGCATTAATATAGTTTTGATGGTCAGAGAATATTTATATCAGAACTGGCATCCTCATATCTAGGATGGACATTTAATTTAGACACCACATTGTGCAATAAGAACAATCCCTACCAAGAATAATTAGAAAATGCTTAGGGAGTTTTTTGGGGAGGGCACAATAAATGCTAAGTAATCTTTATTAATAATAAAAAAAGTTTGTAAACTGAGAGGATAGATGAACTGGAGAACCTTTCATTATTCTAATCATCATCTCCTACTGACAGCTGGCCTGCTTCTCTTACTTCCTTGCATCTTGAAAAGTCACTAACACTTCTGCAAAGAAAGCATAATGTTCTGAAAGGTAGTATTTTACATCCACTGTGCTCAGCTGAAAATTACTTTATGAGATCTAAGGTAGTGAAGGATTGGACCCAGATGAAAGTACTAATAGTTAAGGCTCATATTTCTACATGACCTGTGATGAAAGACAAGAAGGTGCTGCATCTCCAGAGACTTTGGGGAATGTTCGGGAAGTGATATAATTAATAACTAACTGTTCAATTTGATGACACTTAATCTCATTTTCTCAGGCTTGCGTCCTACAGATTATTTATAAATTAGATTGGTGGTCATAGTAACTATTCCCCTGAGTTTGCAAAGTGAAGGGAGCCCAAAATGACTTCTACTTTTCACAGCAGGGTCAATTGAGCACATCATCCTCCTCAGCAGGATAAAATGAATACGGTGCACTCTACTCAGGGGAAAATAAATTCTGTTTCTCACAATACTGTAAATGAGCTGGGGAAGACTCTGTAAGTTTAAGGAGGAAAGTAGTGTCCTTTAAATCTACAGCAAAGCCCCTGCACCATTTCAGCTTGTGCTGAACCTCCTCTGCAGGTGACATGGCCAGTCTGACCACAGGGCTGCAACACACCATCATGCATCTCCCTATGCACATGGCCTGGGTCCTTTGCACCCTCTCCCTCACCTTGTAACAGAGCATCAGCAGCCTCATGGAGCAAAGGACTTTTCATGTCTCTTCACAGCAGAAAAGGAGCAAAGATCTCTATGCAAGCTGTTGAGATGAGATGTAAATTCTCATTCTGTTTCTATTCTGAGAAACAACAGCTGCATCATAGAGAAGCAAAGTTTTTGGAAGTTCATTTCATTGCCAAAGAGAAAAGGTGCTTGTCTTTACTTCCAGATACATATTCAGTGCAGAGTCAGAAAGTTAAGCTGCAGACCAAAATTCAAAGTGAAGATAATACTTTTATCTTTAACAGGCTTGCAGAGGAATTATTTCAGGAAGAACTGAAAATATATATGCCAACAAGAATAAATTTCAAGTCACTTACATAGTTGTGACTTCTGTGACTTGTAGGAGGAAATTATAAAAGCTTCTTTTCACCACCAAATTAACAGTGGACTACTATTTTTTTTTTATCAGTACAGTATCACAATTTCTCAAACTCCACTTTACAATGCAATTTCTTCCTTGAGAAAAGTCCTCCAGAGGTCTTTTATAGGCACTGTATTACTACCAGGCTTCAAAGCCTGATCTGTACTGATTCATGAGACTGTTTAATCTGTGATCCACAACACCCTTTGGCAAGGAGTCCCACAGCTCAACCACACATAATGCAAAGAGCCAAGTCCTTTCATTTATTTTGCACCTCAATTTTACCAGCTTAATTTGACCCCCATCTAAATGTTTTTTTACATTGCAAAACACTGTGTGATGGTTAACACATGGATGTTCATAATATATTACTTCCATCTTTGGTAAAATTCAGAATTATTATGTTTTCTTTATATCAATATTTATTGATAAAATACATAATAATATATTTGACGATTTTTATATACATACATATATACATGTAGTAAAACTTATGATATGTGAAACACTATACAATGCTATATACTAGGAGTGTACAACACCAAGTTACATAAACAGTCAAAAAATAACATTTGATTTGTCATGGTCTCTTTATCAGTTTGGTGGATTGTGTGAGATTTTCCTTTTATTTTCATTAGGTTCATAGAAAAAAGTTCTTGAGAATCTAAAATTAGAATGATTGTGGCTTATCAGTTTCATTCATTAAATAACTGAAAGCATATGCTTTTACGAGATTAAGTGAAAAAAAACTGAAACAATTCTTATCTACAGTTTAAAGCAATCTACTTCGAAGAAATGAATGATCTGCAGGTGACTACTAAGGCTGTGTGATTTATTGATTTATTCTATCGACTTAGCAAGCAGCAGAGCAGACACGATACTTGTGACCTGATGAGAAGAAACTGAGTCGGCACAAGTGGGTCCGAAGTACCTCGCACCTCCGTCTTGCACAAGGGGAGAGGAACAACCTGTTCCAGCTATTTACTGGGGGAAGATTTTCATACCTGCGATTCTGTGTAAATCGTTGAGGTGGTAAATGACGCCACGCACCTCAACTCACGCGCTTTCAGAGGGGACGGTGGAGACAAGTGCAGGCAGCCCGGTAGCGGCACACAGCCCCGCCGCAGTCCGGGGCCAGCCCGGGCACCGCGCCTGGATGCCGAGTGTTCGCGGCGTCCACGTCCCCTGCCCGGGACAGCCCACGGGACAGCGGACTGGAAGGAGGGCGAGGTGATGCCAGGGACAGGTGGAAGCGCAGCCAGAGGCGGGCGGGGAAGGGACGTTACCTGCCGACAGCGAGGACGGGAAAGTTGGGCGAAGAGAAGGCGGGCGGTCAGAGCACCGCGATGCTGCCGGCCGCTCCGCCCGGGGCTGCGGCGTCGCTCCCCTCCCCGAGGCGGCGAGGGGCAATGTCCTCCCGCCCGCCGCCGCCCCCGCTCCGGCCCTACCCCTCCTCCGCCCCCCTCGCACCGCCTCCCCCCCCCGGCGAGGTGAGGCGAGGCGAGGCGCAGCGCCGACTGCGGCGGCCGCTCGGGAGGAGCGGGGTGGCGGGCACCGTGCGCGGCTGCATCCACCGCCCAGCCCGGCGCTGGGGACAGCCATGGGGAGCAGCCGCCGCTCCAGCTGCCGCGGAGAAACTCCCCTCCGGATGTCGGCTGCGGGTGGCCTGGTCTGAGCAGGAGCGGGAGGAGGGAGAGGAGAAAGGGCCGTAGCAGCGGCGGACTGTGCGAGTTGCGCTCTGCCCTTCTTCTCCCCGGCCCGTCTCCCACCCGCGGAGCAGCATGCGGACTGGCCTCCGCGCTTTCTCAGATGTGCTCCGGCTGCCGCCGCCTTCAGTGCATCCTGCTGCTGGCAGCGCTCACCCGGGCGCTGGATGAGACGGGAGCAGGGAGATCGCTGCTGCGGTTCCGCCCGCTCCTTCATGCGGGCTCCTGCTCCGGCGGAGGTCGCACCGCCGCCGCGGAGGAGCCGGGCTGCGCTCCCACCCCGCGCCCGCCGGCCCGCGGGGCCCGCATGGCGTGCTACCTGGTCATCAGCTCCCGGCACCTCAGCAACGGGCACTACCGCGGCATCAAAGGCGTCTTCAGGGGACCGCTCTGCAAGAAGGGCGCTCGCTCGCCGGTAACTGCCACCTCCTCGCCCCCTCCCTCACTTGCCCCCCGCACGGTAGGAGCGGTGCGGGCGGATGCCCACGCTGGGGGCGGCCGGCGCGGCTGCGGGGGGCGAGGGGCGTGGGCGCCTGCTCGGTCCCGCTCTGCGGGGCCCCGGTGTGGGCGCTGCCTCGCCGGGCGGCTCGGAAAAGTTTCTCCGTCGGCGGCTGCCTGCGAGTGGCCGCGGGGACGGGGCTGGGGGCGGTGCTGGCGTTCGGCAGTGGGGCGGGGGGGCTGCGGCTTAGCTGGGGTCATCCGTGGACCGCGTCCCGGAGTCGTGCCCGGGGAGAGGTTAATTTGTGATGCTTTGGTGAGAAGTTGGAGGCTGGTAGAGGGGAAGGCGCCGTGTCGGCTCCAGGTGTCGCGGTTTAGTACCTTGTCCAAGGTTTTGACGCGGCGGAGGAGGGAAGCGATCGTTCTTGTGGATTCGTCTGCCAAAAAAATGCACTTGCGAGTTTGTCTAAGGCGCGTTGTGAGCTACCTGTCTAGACCGACGTCTAGGTAGAACACGCGTGAAGTTTGGGGCGGTCCTGCGGGGACTGCAGACCCGTCGAGCTGCCCTAGACGGTGTCCGTGAGTCGCTGAAGGCGTTTCGTGGGGGCAGCGGCAGTCCTGGGCTGCCGGGGACAGCGGCGCCGGGGAGCACCGCGCTGGTGCCCAGGCGGTGACGATGCCCCGCTGCCTCTCCTCCGCCTCTCCGCCCTGGTTGTGGCATCGTAACTCCGCAGTCGCCACCGAACTTTGCCTGTCACCGTGCCGGGTGTCGGTGTGTGCCGTACGGAGGGGTACGGACCTGCCATCCAGCCTGCCTTGCACGAGTACCAGGGACACCTTGAGCCCGCTGGTGGGATTCCCTGAGCTTCGGCAATGCCCCGCCACACACCTGCATCCTAAAATACCTTACGGGAGCTAAAGTCTGCTTTCTCTTTCTTGACTTCCAATGAACAAAAATGACACATATCTCACTATGCTTCCAAAACCCCTTCTGTGTTGTGCACTAGCACTCTGATAGAGCACTTGCGAGTTCTTCCCTTGTACTGCTGTGTCTGTCGTGTGCAGGGTAACACAACTGCACCACAGGTATCATCCATCAGTCATTGGCTGAGCTGCCTTTGTCTTCTTTGACCCATGGAGCTGATCCACTTTCCACTTCCCACTCCTGAAATGCAGGCAACATTTGCTGAGGTCTCTGTTTGAAATTAGGTCAAAAGGAAAAAAGATCTCAAAGATCTAAAATAGGAACAAGCTTAATTGTAAATACTTCTGATTTAGTAGAACTTAAACAACTAATGTTCAAGTCGAGTAGTATCAGAAGCCTGGGAAGATACTATCCTCTGAATATTGTGCTCCAAATCCTTCACTTTCCAATTTCTTTCCCTTTTTAACTGCCTAGTGAGTATGCACACCACTCCCCTCCATCTGAATACTTAATGGAATAAATTTGTCTGACTCCACTAACAAGTCATCATTTTAAACACAGGTTCACTAACAAGTAGTCATAGTCCTGCTAGTGGGTGGGAGCAATTTTTGTTAATATGTAAGTAACAGAGAAGACCAATGAAAATTAATGTTCCTTATTATTTAAAGGTGTATTTTTTAAAAAGGATTTTGTTTTCAATTGAGCCTTCTTAGTCTTAAGGCAGCCATCTAGGGTTTAGTGGAAAAGGGAAAAAGCTATGAAGCTGAAAATTAATCTCAAGTCTCTTTCACTGTGTAGAAATGCTCTTTCATCTGAGCTTTCCAGAGTTTGAAAAAAGTATCAAGGACACTTTGTATTACTTTTCACTAAGACAGAACATCTTGTTTCCTAAATTTGTATTACCAGGAGTTGCTGCTTTATATGTTTTGGGGCCATTTATACAGAAAGGACTGAATTTTAGCAATCTTTAGCTTTCATTCTGAATTCTTGAGGGAAAAAAATTATTTCTCTACATATATTTATATTTTTTTTAAAAAAAATTTTCTTTGTTTTCTTCTGCCTTTTTTTTAGTGACAACTCTGAAGCTAGTCAGGCTTTTGAGGTCATAGGCTAAGCCCTTTGGAGAGGGAGTGTTGGACAGCTCATGGGAGTAAAGGTGCATGACAAAGTTTTGTTAATGCTGAGTAATTGTAGCTTTGTAACTTTTTCATGTGTTTGATATTTTGAATTTACTGTTGGTTTATATCGGCTATTTTCATATTTTGATACAGAAGTTCAGATTTTCGGAGATAAATAAAGAATGCTCAGTTGGCACAGAGGGTAATAGTTTGCTATTAAATACTGAAAGCAGTGAGTAATTTGCATGTGCCTACAAATTTATAACTTTCCAGACCATATCCTTCTTCCTTATCAGTGTGCATAAAGTTGGTAACAGTGAACAGCAAAAAACACCACCTGGACACATTTTGCATTATAGATGTGGGAGTCATGCATATTGAGATTTAGTATTGACTGAGATAGTAAAATTGTTTTAAACATGAAAAAATGCCCCACACAATGCAAACAAACTGTCCAACTATTGAGTTAAACTTGGGACCTCTCCTTATACTTAAGGAAGTCTTAGGCCAGTGGCATTTATTAGTATTCCCTGTGCTGTGTTGTTATTTAATCCCTCCTGATTATAACTTTGAATGATCCAAGTTATTTCTTGCAGTCATTTTTAAAATGTTGAATTGGAAGCAGCCTTGAAGATTTGATTTTATCATTTGTACCATTAAACAATCTTCTGTTTGTACACTATAAGTGATCTTATGCATGAGTCTGCGTAGCCTTTAATGGATAATATGTACCTTTCTATATTTAAAGTGTTCTGTATTAACAGACCATGAAATGTCAGTAGACTTAAGGCTATGCTTTAAGAAATGAGAACAGTGGTGAATATTTTAAACACCTTTATCAAATTTCATGGTTTTATGAACAAGGATTTTTTCAGTCTGGGTGTTTATGTAGTATTTATTTAGCATACTTTGCTATTATTCTACCAGAAACAATTCTGGTCCTTCTTCCTGGTATGCAGAGAGACCTTTAGCTGTAGCAGTTCCAATGAGAACAAGATATGTAGAACTACAAGGATAAGACCCTTTGGGTATGTAACGATTTTGTCATGCTGTCGTCATAAAATCCTTTAAAAATTTTACCTTGCCTTTGCTCACTTTTACATATTGGAGAAGGGACTAGCTGTGAATATTGTGGAATTAGTAGTGATGAATTCAGAAAGAGCAGAATTAGGAGCAGTCACCAGTGAGTCCTTTATCAGTGGAGTCTGATGGAGTTACATGGAGAAGGAAATGCTGAGTTTGAACATGAGGCCAACATTACTAAGGATAATGGACAGTAAGCCAATGAAGGAAGCTGCTCATTTTAAAGCACAGCTGAATCTGTGCTTTAAGCTTTTATATTTTATGTGAAAAGTTATATTCAGGAGCATATTATGAGCAAATTTTCTGTTTCTGAAAATTGCTGTTTAAGGAAATGCATTATGATACAGAGATATTACTTACACTTCAGAGTGATGATATTGTCTAAAGGTTTTTGAGTCCTGAATAGATTACATTGATCAGTGCACTGGTTTTATTTTTTGAAGTCATGATAGACAATGCTGTCATACTCACCTGCAGCCCAGCCTGCTCAGAGATTTACTGCCATTTGTGATTTACTTCACAAGTGTGGCAAAGCTGGCACTGAAAAGGACTTGCCCGCAAAACTTTTAAAGAAACTTCCAGGATGCAGCAGAAAATGGTACTGGGAATTCAGCAGATGGCCCCCTTGCTTCTGAATCATTTCTAAGCCAAGGATGTTATTAGGGTACACTGTTCTTCCTGTGGCTTTTTAAGATAAGATATAAACAAAGTCTCGTTTACTACTCAGTATTTAAAGATCCCTTTGTATTTTGAAGGGAATAGAAGGCTCAGAAGACCCAGTGCCTTAGCCAATTTCTGACTTGGCTAATTATTTTTCTTCCATTGTTCCCTGCAGCTTCAGCTGAATACAGTATTTTTCATGTACTTCTCTAAGCTGTTTTCAAATAAAGCTGTCAAGCAGCTGCTGTGTTGCACTCGGTGCTTGCCTGAGTTCTTTGGGTTGTTGGGGGCAGGAAAGGCTTTTCTGTTACACAGAGTTACCTTTTAAAAAGCACAGCTCCCACCCAGTGTCCAGAGGCTGCTCCAGCAGGTCTAATTAAGTACATTGCAGGTACTTGAAAATAATGACAGTTGAGTTGATACTGAGCCATAAGCAAGCTGTTTTAGCACTAAAGCAAATATAGCCAGGACTTAGTAGCACCTTAGCACTCTCTGAAGCAGACAACAACACAAGGCACTTCAAAACTTGGAAAACTTAAGTGAGCCTGAGGATGAATGACTGTAAATAGAGAATGGGAGGGACAGAGCATGGGCAGCTGTCTCTGTCTGCCTGAGATCAATGCTAGAAACACGGGCATAACCAAGTCTGCCACAGAGTGACAGTATTGTGTTTGCCACCAGCCAGTGGCAAACATGTGCCAAGCACAGTTGTCAGAAAGCAATTTAAAGGCTAGACATGGTGCATGCATACCATGTGAAATATGGTTTAGGTGACAGCAGGTTATAGGAGAAGCCACCATATATCCGAGTGATTACTGGAATGCCAAATAACTTGTGCATCCTTTAGCACTGTGACTGCACTCTCAACAGCACTGAAAGCAGAGAGGAAGGGTATGCTGGAGCATTACAAGGAAAATGCATGAAAAGTAAAATTTAAGTTAGGAAATAGAGTCTAAAGGGGCCAATAATAAACCAGAAACTCTAATAAATAGTTCTACAAAAGGAAAGGGGGAAAAACCCCCAACTGTGCTAACAAAATTTTGTGGAAAGAAAAAAGGGAAAATGGTAAAGAAGATGGAAAATTGTGCTTTCACTTTCCTGTGCCAAAAGTCTCTGGCAGCTCCCTCCAGCAAAAGTGGCTGCCTGCCAGGGGGGATTCTGTGCACGCTTCTGAAGGCTTGGAGCTGGCTT